CCATTTGGCGCATTTGAAAAGGAACACAAATATTGCTATGCGATACTTTGTAAATATTTTGACAACACATGTCAATTTCATTGGTTTCCTTCTGAAATCTTACATAGTTACCATTTTCTTTCTATTCAGAAGCATTCGGGGCACCTGGGTGGCTTAGTGGGTTAAGGGTCAGACTCTTGGTTTTGGCTCAGATTATCATCTCACAGGTTCGTGGGTTCGAGGCCCATGTTGGGTTCTGGGCTGACAGCTTGGAGCCTGCTTGGGATTCTCTCTCTCCCTCTTTCTTTGTCCCTCCCCTGCTCTCTCTCTTTCTGAGAATAAAGAAATAGATAAACTAAAATTTAAAAAAGTATCAATGTGAGGGGGAGTTCACAGGAACCTTGTCCAGAGCCTGGTGAGAAGACCCCCAGCGTACTACCTCGGGAGGGATCCACAGGTCTGCCTTAGTGCTTACGCAGGAAGAGCGGGAACTGCCTATTTTCCTTGAGGGCTCTCGCAACCTCTGGAACTGAGAACAAGAGTTCTAACCTCAGTGTCTGCTCTCTACTCCCGCAGCTTGCTGTTCCCACCTGGCAGCCCCCTCGGCTCTCTCTCTACCGGTCTCAGCCCAGCTGCCTCCACTGCCGATGGAGCCGCCCACAGCACCTACATCCCACGTGAGCATGAAGGTGAGGAGTTCATTCAATGTGGCTGATCATGCCCCTCTCCTTGGCTTCTAGAACATTCTCAGTTCTCTTCACTCACTGGGCCTTCCCTCTGGCTGCTGCCTCCATCCGCCTCATCCTCCCAGCCTCCGAATGTGAACCTCTTGGCCTCTCCGATTCCTCATCTGTGTTCACTTGCCGCTGGCTCACACGACATTCCTGGGCTGATGGCTCCTGGAGTGACCTCCCCCTGAACTCCAGCTTTGTGCCTCCAAGGACCCATTCTGCGTATCCACTTGAGGCAGCTCAGACCAAACACCTGGAGAATGATTTCATCTACCTTACGGGACCAGAACCTTCTCTTTCCGGAATCTCCTTCATTTCCGAAAATAGCAACCCCATTCTTCCAGGTGATCCAGGCCCAATCTTGGCATCATCCTTTATGCTTTTTTTTTTCTTCACACCCACAACCAAGCCTTCAGGAAATCTCACTGCTCTGCCTTCAGGCACATCCCCAACTCTTCTTCCCTTTCCATCTGCCACCTGGTCCAGACCTACGTCTCCTGCCTGGATTGTTGCCATTTATACTATCCCCTTTGCTGGGCAGAGAGAAAGCAAGGAGGGACCGAGGAAGGGAGAAGAAGAGTGGCATTGTGGACACTGATGGGGTTTTGGGGCCGAGAACTGAAGGTGAAAATCCTGACCCTGTGTTCAGTCTACCTCTCTAATGGGCAGTTATTACACAGGTTGTGAATGAGCCTCAGTTCTCAAACTGTTCCCATTTAGGGCGATAGTGGCTGACAGAGATAAGTTACTTGCCCAGGGTGACAGGGCCAGTGAGTAAAAGACCCAAGAAAGCAGGGTTCTCTGGGAATCCTTGACAACAATCAGGGTGTGTTATCCAAGAAGGGACACTCAGGTACTCGAGTACAGGAGGGGCGTGGCTCCATCTCAGGAAGTGGCTTCCCAGAGACAGGGATGCGGACAAAGCGCTCACAGGGTGGAGGTTTCTACTGTTCACACAGGGCGCGGGAGGGTCTGGGACACGACGTGGGTGACTGTGGGCTGTGGCCTGGGAGGAGCATCAGGAGGCCCTGGGCTGTGAAGGCATCGACACTGGCCGTCAGTGGGTAACAAGATGTCCCCAAGGACTAAAGTCTCCTGCAAATCCAGGGCCTCCCTTGGCGCTGGGGCTCCGAGACATCCTACATGCAGGGGAGGGAACCAGAAACCATGGCTGGCTTCAGACCCTTCTGGGTCAGAGCCAAGTTTGATTTGATTTAGAAACGCAACGAAATGTAGCATCTCTTAATTATTCCACGAGCATCATGCTGTAATGTAAATCTGTAAGAACTCTCTCAGTCAAGTTTCCTTTTTATTCTGAAATGTGGGGTTGGGGGTTGTATCCCCAGAAGGACACAGTACTGTTGTCAAAGCAGCCTGAGTTAAGAGCAGCCAGTCCCTGGGCGCCTGGTGGCTTAGTCGGTTAAGCGTCCGACTTTTGCTTAGGTCATGATCTCGCGGTTCGTGGGTTCGAGCCCCACGTCGAGCTCTGTGCTGACTGCCAGCTCAGAGCCTGGAGCCTGTTTCAGTCTGTGACTCCCTCTCTCTCTGACCCTCCTCTGCTCACGCTGTCTCTCTCTCTCTCCTAGAAATAAATAAAAAATATTAAAATAAAAAAAAAAAAAAGAGCAGCCAGTCTGAAAGATGTGGGCTAACCCAAAACCACGCAGCTACTTGATGGCCGTGTGGTAAGGCGGCGAAAGAGGGACTGGAGCAGGGCCTGAGGCGCTTGTGTTGGGAGTGAAGGAGGAAACCGGGAACTCATTCTTATACCCTGTTACTTGAGGGGGAGAGTCAAGGTCTTGTTCAGATCTATTTCCTGGTTTGGCTGGCGGGGCTATAAGACAGAGCCCTCCATGTGTTGCTTCCTGAGTGTCACTTCCTGCTTCTTTGTGGGAATTCATATTTGGACCTCGGGGTCTGACATCACGTTTCGTCAATCCAGCCAGAGCCAGAAGCTCTGTGGAGTGATGATTGTGGAAGGAGCCCTCTGTGGTCATGAAATAATCGCTGAATTACTTGGAAATAGCCTAGACACAGAAGTAATGAGCCCATGGGTCATGCTGCTACTTGGGTGAACATATTTGTCCCTTGCTCACTAGTCTGGCTTTGAATCCTGGGTCTTTTACTCACTGGCTCTGTGACTGTGGGCAAGTATTGGGCAAGTAACTTATCTCTTTGTGTTTTAATTTCCTCCTTTGTTGCTTCTTCTTCTTCTTCTTCTTCTTCAAAGAATTCTTTTAACATTTATTTATTTTGAGAGAGAGTGTGTGAGTGGAGGAAGGGCAGAGAGAGAGAATCCCAAGCAGGCTCTGTACTGCTAACACAGAGCCCAACACCGGGCTTGAACCCATGAACTGTGAGACGATGACCTGAGTCGAAGTCCAACACTTAACCGACTTAACTTCCTCCTTCGTAAAATCAGGTTAAGAATGGTATTTATCTCATTGGACCAAATTCGTAAACAAAAAGAATGAGCTTGGCACGTAGTTAAGTACTCAGTAAACTGTAATCACTATTATTATTAGTCTTTCACCTGAGTAAGAGATATGGACATATTTAATTTAGTTGTGACAGAATTGAAAAAAGACTTTGGAAAAAAAAAAGCTATTTTCCCCCCTTTAATTGGCAATAGGTCAATTACCTAGAATAACCACCAGGCACCGGGCCCTCGTAGACCACGACCATCAAGGCAGGACTAACAGAACATCATGCTGTTTTTAGATGTTCTTTCCCTTCTTTATTGATTCAAATGGATTTATTTGTATAGTTTAAAGAGTAGGTGAAAATTACTGGTTTTGTCCTGCATGAAATGATGATGTTTTGGGTGTAAATCCCTGGTCTGAATGGGACGGCCAGTCCCAGCCCGCTTAGCTTCTCTGTGGTCAGATAAAGGCTAAAATGCACCGTACCCCGTCCTTCCAAACAGACATGGCGCTTGTTGCCTGGGGTCTGAAGGTCAGTAAAAAACAGCACGGAGCTCCTCTGTTAGCCCCTAATTCTTCATGCTGCTACGATTCAGCAGCAGTGAGGTTCGGTAGCTCTAACTGGTAAGGCCCAAAGGACCAGATGGGCTCTCAGCGCTCGTACATCACTGGTGAGAGCTTCCGCCCGGCGGAGGCACCCACAGCAGGAGAAACACACGGCGGCTGGGTTTTCCCATCACCATCTCAATGGCCTGGTCTGAGGACCTGGAGGACATTGTCGGGAGGAAGCATGAAGTGGGTGGAGGATAAACCCACTTCTGACCTTGGCGGATCCGGGGCCGCAGGCTGGTCCTGGGGCAAGGGTCTCACCAGGCCACGGCAGCAAGCCTGGCCAGCTGGCTCCATGTCCGGGCTGACCCGCTGGGGCTCTCTTCCCTGCAGGCAGTGATGTCAAGACCCTGGACCCCTGGTAGCCTTCAGTAAGACCCCTTGAGAATGGAGGCATTTGTGAAATTGCTGCTCTGTGGGTACGTCTCAGGCTCAGCTCCTTCCCTGAATGGGGAATCTTCTTTACACGCTCAGAACTCGAGGTTCGGAACAGAGGCATGAGCAGGGCACCATCAAGGGCACATCATGGCATGGCTGTGAAACTGATGGACATGGAACAGCTCCAACCTCCCCGGACCAGCTAACCAGAGAGCTGTAAGAGTGAGTGAGTGAGTATGTGTGTGTGTGTGTGTGTGTGTGTGAGACCGTGCATAGTTCATGACCATGTGATTTAGATCACCACCAGAAAGCAGCATCAATGTCCTTAAAGCAGTCAGAGCTCATCTGGCCCTGTCAGCAGCTCTTTCCACCTAAAGGAGAAGTCAATAGACTCCTGTACCTGCTCTGATGGCAGCTGGCATTGTGCTTCTGTCCCCAGAAAAGCCAGTGGTGTCCTGCGGGGCCGCCGGACTTGAGCCATGCTCCTCACTGGCTTCTTGCCAATGCCGAGGGAGCCAAACAGCCAGGCGCCTCTTGCTTTGTCTTTTTTCTTCTGACTTTTGCTTCCTTACTAGCAGAGGCTACCAGGAGAAAACGACATCATCTTTACTTTGTGACTTACAGCAATCATCTTTTCCCCCAGGGAGCCCCGTACTTCCTGCCCGGCCTGTGGGCTTATGCTGAAGTGACTGTTTTTGGTGGATATCGCTGAAGCATCTTTTATAATGAATCAGCCCGGCCCTCCTCTGATTTTCCCGTCGGTGTGTGGGTTGTGGCCACTCCCTGAGTGTCCCCATTGCTTTGCAATGTGGAGCCCCGACAGTAGGCTGTGGTTACAAGACCTCAGCAGACAGAACAGACTGGAAACAAATACTGTCCATTTCATTCACAGCCACATCCGAAAGGTTTATTCCTGTACCACAAACAAACCCCACTGACCAAACTCCCACTTTTGGGAGTTTCATTCAGCTGTTATTACATCACCCACATAAATAACATATAATAAATACAAAAACAGAAAGGCCTTTTTTTTTTTTTTTTTAAGTCTTTGGTGTACAGAACTTTTCTCCCCTTAGTTTCCTTCTTTCCCTGTGTTCTCAGTCCCGCCCCCCACATTCATATTAATCCCTCTGGACAGAAAAGTAACCCAGAGGTAAACTTTGTGCCGGGACCCTGCATCTGAGCCAGTCCGGGTCGTGGTGCTGCTGTGGACTCGAGGAGGGACGGGCCCTGGGGACTCACACATAGTCGTTCAGTCTGTACCCGCTGAGCGAGGCCGAGGTGGCCGAGGGGGCCCTGTTGTCCTTGAAGGCGGCGGGGGGCTGGTAGGCGGGCGCGGTGGCCGTCGTGGCCCTGGGCCGGCCCTCGTAGGGCCTGGAGGGCACCTCGTCCTGGCCCGACAGGCACAGCAGGGTGCCGCCGATGAGCGACAGGGACGAGGAGATGAAGCCGAGGTACAGGGCCTGCCCGATCTCGAACTTCATGCCGCTGGGCAGCAGCGGGTTGTAGAAGCTCTGCACCACGTCGTTGGTGGTCCAGGACACGGCCACCATGCAGAGCAGGCCGCCCAGGATGAAGAGCGCGCCGCCCAGCACGGCGAACGTGGCCTTGGCGGGCGTGCCCTTGGCGCAGCGCGTGCACTTCATGCCCACCACGGCGCAGGCGCAGGCCGCGCCCGCGAGCAGGCAGGAGATGACCATGAGCGCGCGCGCCGCCTGCAGGTCGCGGGGCAGCGCCAGCAGCGAGCGGTAGATCTGGCACTGGTAGATGCCGGTGCTGTGCCACACGCACTCCATCCACAGCCCCTTCAGGTAGGACACGGCCGTCAGGATGTTGGTGCCCACGTGCGCCGTGCGGCGCCAGTGCGGCAGGATGGTGGTGATCAGCGTGCCCACCAGGCCCAGGAAGCTGAGCAGGAAGCCCAGCAGCTGCACCGCCGTGCTGGCCATGGCCCCGGTGGCCGGCTGCCGGGCTCGCTCAGGCGCCCGCCGGAGTCCTAATGAGGCCGGAGGCGGGGCGGGGAGAGAAGGGAAATGGGTTAAAGATTATCTGGCTGCATTTATTTCTGCCCCCGAAACTGAGTTTTCCGTGGGCAGTTGCTATGACAATTAACGTATTTTTAAAAATAGTTTCTGACACTTCATTGGGTGCAGGAATAAGCCGCGTGTCCCAGACGTTTTCCCTGGAAGGCCAGAAGGGGAAGGGATGACAGCAGAAATCTGGCCGGTCTGCCCTTCCCAAGCACCCCACTCCCCCCACCAAGGGCAAGCCAGAGCCCCCCTTTCTGATCTATCAGCACTTAGCAAGCCCGTGGAAAGTTCTCCCTTATGTCTACTCTTAAACACTTCTGCAGCATTTGAATCTCATTTCATGCTGCGTGGTCAGTAATCACTTCAGTTGTTAAACCAGCTACATGTGGACTGATGAGAGTGAAGGTGTGTGCTGCCTACGCCTCAGCAATGAGCCCGGGACTGCCCCTCAGGATGCAACAGCTCCTGAGAGTGGGTGACTTCCCTGTGCTCTCAGGGAGGGAGAGGTTTAGCACCCACAGGCAGGTCTGACGCTTTCTTCCAGAATCCCAGAGCTGGATGTGAACGTGGAGATTGCGCACTGATGCCAGGGGCTATCAGGAGTGACCAAGGTCACAGCTCCTTAGGTGCTGGGGCCAGGACCGCAGACCAGGGCACCTCCCCTCACACCTGTCTGCAGAGCGGTGGGCTCGTTGCAAACTGAATGCTGCTGCCTGCCTTTCAGAGAGACGGGAATGCGGAGCCGTTTCCGAGGTTTCAGATATTCTAACCATGGCAAAATCCAGAACGGTTCTTGGGCGCGAAGACCCAGCACCTGTGTAGTGCCAGACAAATAGGGGAAATGTTGGAAGGGAGGAAGGAGAGAGGCAGGGAGGCAGTGGAAAGGATGCGAGGAAGAGAGGAAGAGAGGAAGGCAGGCGCCGGGCGAGCAGAAAACCCCAGTGAACACCACTGGGTCCTCTCTCCTGCCTGGGGCAGGGTACCAATCCACCCTGTCCCCCGCTCCCCCGCACTCCACCCACTGGGTGACTCCGGGTGTCTGTCTGGGCTCAGCTTCTTTCTCTAACATGAGGGAGCTGGACTCCATGGCCCCAGAGTGTCTCCTGAAGGGAGAAAAGGGAAGCTTCTCTGCTGATGACAAGTCACTTCAGCGTCCCAAACCAAGGAAGAATTCAGTGGACAAAACCCACTTCTTCCTTCATCTCAGTTAAGCACAGGAAAGCTGCCGAAGAGCAAAATGTGGGCTGGGAAGGCTTCCCAGGAGGCATTCATGAGACTGTCTTTAACCCTGGGTCCCTTGCAGAGAAACCCCTTACTAAACTACAGTGCAGGATTTGCTTAGTAACACAAGTGACATTTCCACAGGGGGCCTGTACCATCATCTTGCAGGATTTAAAACTATCCTGGGATTCGACGTCTGAGGGTCGCAGCAGGTAATTCTTAGTTCTGTGCTGATTAACAGACAAGCAAAACCAGGGGACAGCAAAACCGTGTGGTGCCCAGCAGGACACGCAGTGTTCTGGCAGTGGGGACAATGTTAGGGTTTTCACAGGGGTTTCAGATGATGATTTCTTCAGGACACAGTGTTGTTCACACGCACTTGGCACTGACTGGCCACCTGCGCCTTGTCATGGTGCTGGCTTTCTTTAGACTCTACTCGAAGGATTCTTCCCTCCACTCAGCAAGCACCCGTTCTGTGCAGGGGCTGGGCTTGGGGTGGGGGGGACCCCGACAGTCTCTGCTGCCCAGAGCTGGATGGGGCCGGCTGTCCTGCAGTCACTGCGGGGGAGGAGACGGGACCCACACAGGGATCACTCTGATGTATGAGCCGGGGCTGCTGCAGTGACCCCCCCCCCGCCCCCATGCGCTGAGTGCCCTACCTAGCAGAGCTACCACCAAAAGTGCCCATTTCTGGGCCTGACGGATGCCGGGCACTTTGAGGGGCACTGACATAATGCCCTGTTTGTTCCCTATAGTAACCCGGTTACACAGCGACTGTTCATCCTGTTTTACACACGGGAGAACCGGGTGCAGGGGTGAAGTTCTATGCTGGCCTGGCTGGTCTTTTCCCTGGTGTGATTCCTCCTTCAAACACTACCTTTCGCAAGTAACTAGGACCGACGTTGGCATGAAGACTGAGGGGTGGTATCATCAGTGTATTCTGGAGACTTCACTCTTGTCCCCAGAGAGTTCACTCTTGACCCTTTTGCAGTGGTTCAGGTGGCCATGGTGACCAACGGTTCTGCCTAGCTGGAGACTGAGAGGTTGCCCAGGGCAGGGGACTCTCCGTGTGACATTGGAACAGTCCCAGGCCAGCCTGGACAGGCGGTTCCTACACGTAGCCCGGAGGCTGCCGACTTCTCCAAGTGGCCTTTGAGATCCTTCCAGTCCTACCTGGAGGCTGTCCCCAGGCTGACGGCCACATAGGCTGTCCTGGTCCTGGCCATTCTGAGGCTTCTCAGAGCTCTTGCTTGTCAAGGTCAATCATTAAGTACACTGATGCTCAAGAATGTGGCATAAAAGCCGAGCCTGCTTGACCCCATTAGTCTAGGGAAGTGGAAAGAAGTTTATTGGAGTTCTAAATATTTATGGAGAGCCATGACTGCTAATTTTAGAAACCATTAGGTTGCTATTTTTAAACTTGTACTAGAAGGATTTGCTAATTTAAGAAGTGAGTGTTAATGAGCCCCCAACTCCCAAACACCAGCTCCCCACCCCTTCCCTGGAGTTACCAGCAGCTGCTACTGCCATTAGGTCATAATTCAGCTTCCCAGCAACCACTTTTCTCGTTGGGGCCATTCAGTGGAAAAACAATTTTATATGAACGCATCTCCTTGGCAACCACCTAAAACTCATCCCTGATGCTCCGGAAGGACCCTGCCCAAGCTTGCCTCCCGAGAGGGGTGGTGCATACCGGACCCGACGGGCCGTGGAGATCTGCAACTGACTTTACCTGTGGGCCACTTTCTCCTGTAGACGTGTGTGTGCTTGTGGAAGCGTGTGCTAGAGGGATGTGAGTCCAAGACAAATATGGTTCTAGGAATCAAGTTCCAAAGAAGACCTTGACAGGCTGGGTGGGTGAGCCTGAGTGTCACAAGATAACGCATTCCGGGAATAAATGTTGCGTCTTGCATCTGAGTCTGCAAAGCCTCCAAAGCACACTCCTGGGTGGGCAATATGTGGCTTAGTTGTATCAGTGAGCAGGATTTAGGATGGTGGTTCCCAAGGAGTGTTTCTTGCCACGCTGTGTTCGCAGGATGACTTGTGTGAGGATGTAAATGTCAGGTGGGTCTGAGAAGAGCTGATAAGGGCAGACCTTCTCACTGCCCTTACTATGCGGCTGTGCACTGTGAACTCCTAGAAAAGTCTGTGCGTCATTTCCTAAACTCGCTTGACTAGACATCCTCTCCCGACTTTTCCAGGGAACCACCGGAAGTCAAATCACTGGCAAGTAGGCTGAGAGGTTTATAAGTCTCTTGAAAGCTTAATGGAGCAGTGATGAGCTGGAATTGCTAAAAGAAAAACCAAAAACCGAAAAAGCAATTTGATTTTCGGGAAGGTGAATGAGCACAGATAGAAGGCCAGCAGGATGTAGAGTCTGACCCCAGCAGCGTCTCAGAAAGCCCCGGGGCTGTAAAGTAACATGAAAATCCACAAAGAGCAGCTGTGAAACACACCAGGGCACTGTCGGCCCCTCAGACTGGATCTGGTTTTATGAGCACCAGATCCGAAAGGTGAGGGTTTTTTTTTTTTTTCCATATAAACTTTATGGTGTGCCTTCCTCTGTTGTCTGTGAGCTACATTCTATTTATTTTTTTTAAAGGGAAGACATAATTAAAAAAAAAAAGAGCAGGAACGCTCTGTGCATGGTAGTCACTCCATTGCATTCAACCTCCCAGCCTGCCTGGACTCAAGCTTTGTCAGCTTTGGAGCTTTGTCTCCTAATTAGGCATCAACAGTGGGGGCCAGAGGGGACAGCTTGCCCAGGACAAGGGACAGAGGTGTTTGCCTGGCCCCTACTCCTGCTTTTTTATTGTCCAGTGTCCCTGCGCATATCCAGTTCATTCTTCATTTTATCTGGTCTCCCAAAGACCTTTCTCCCGCTCAGTGGAGTGTGAGCTCAGGCCTCCCTGCCCCCAGGCTGCCTGGAGGGGTGCAGATGTGACACCTGTACGACATTTGAGTCACATGATGTCCTCATCCTTCAGAAGTTTCACCTGTGGCTACTTTAGCTCTCCTATGGACACACGTGGCTCATTGGCCCTTCCCCCCACCCTCCACACACTGCTGAAGGGCATGTCAGACCTGGCGTGGGAGCAGTATGGGTCTTCCATGGGGAAGGAGGTTCACAAACCAGGCATGTGGGAATTCCTTTACCCAGAACCCCCTGGGCTCATATCTTGGTGAAGAGTTGGAAGATTCGGCCACTCAGCCTCTTTTTAGCTTTGGACTGCCTTGCAGTGGGAGATATCGAGCGGTCCGGGAATGGGCCATCACACACACATCATCATGTACATCACACTGCCCCCAGGGGCTCCTGACGTGGGGTTGGATCCACTGTGGAGACAGCATAGAACCTTGTTTCCTAGCACTTATCAAGAAAGAGGAAGAGCTGGCTTTAAATGAAAATGGTCCTTGGACCTTGAAAGCATGCAGAGTTGTCTCAACCTTGATGTTCAGCAATTTAAGAAAATGTCTAGCTCAGGAAGCCGTCTGTTCTTATTGCCCCAAACAGCTTGGCTCTGCATTATTGCTTAGATATTTCACAAATGCCACAACCTAGGAACTAAGAATAAACTCAAGGAAGATTTGGATTCATCTTAATGATATACATGAGCAAAACTAACACGAGAAATATTGTCTAAAGAGTTAAGTGAAGATTAGATAATTCATAGTTAAAATGTTCCATGGGAAAACTTTATATAATAAAGGAT